GAAAAGTGACCAGTTGCAATGAGGGTTCTGTTTCTTTTTGGTTGTCTGCTGAAGTCACCTAACGGGCTCAGCCAAAAGAATTCTGCCACAGACACACACACATTTCTCCCTGATTAATTACCTAAGAATGGAAGCATAAGCAGTGTGTAATTTCTTTTGTAAGAAAGCTGTTGTTTGTGACTACATCTCTTTGGATGTAGAATAGGAGGACAGGGATCTAGTGATGTAGAATGAAATCCTAGTGTGAATGTATGATTTAAAATGGAAAATTTTGGATAAGAGTAAATCAGACTTCTGCGACTGAAGGTTTGGATAGTGAAATGCAGAATTTTTTTTGCAGGTTTTCAGAAGTGCAAATCAGCTATTGCTTGGTTATTGAGGTTTTGGGTTTTGGAAGGTTTTTTATTTTTTAAACATATTGGCTTAATGCCTTGTGCTTGATTTTTATAAAGTAGCCAAGCACGGCAGGCTTTTGGCAAATATACTTGCTTGAAGAAAATGCTTTTGTGTGTTACATTAGTCAGTCTTTATATCTGTCATTCTTACCTTCCTTAGTATTTTTTCCTAGCTTCAATGTTTTAATCTTTTATTTCAAGTCTATCTTGGCCTTTAAATATCAATGGATTTTGCTAGCTTCCCTGGAAGTTATGTTGATACGATTCATTCATGCTTTTGGGGGATCTTGATTTTGGTGGAGAAGTTTCTAAATTTTGGAAAATAAAGGTTGCATGGCACTGTCATTTACAAGATGGCACAGTATGTGAAAGAACAGGTGTGAAAAACGAAGTGAATAGAATTGCTTTTGAGATATAAATGGGCATTTCATGCATTTCTGTTAGAACACCTTTTCTAAAGTGTACTAAGTATTTAATTTTTCTTCTTAGCTCAGTGTTTTCCTTCTGAAATGAAATTACATAATATTTAACTAACACTTCTCTACATGCCTAGTTTTAAATTAAAATTCATAATTAAGCTTAATATGAAATTATAAGATTTGATTTAATGCTTTTCTTCAGTACCTGAACTAATGTTCGCTGCATTAGAAGGTGCAGTCGTCATTGAGAAGCTTTGTTCTTTTAACAAAAGGTACCAAAATAAATTCAGTTAAGGTCATAGCAGTTTAGTTTAATACTGTTATGATAATAAGTACTATAATTACTTTTAGATAGTTCTTCCTTCCCAGAGGATGAGATTTTTAGTTTTGATGCCTGCTTAAAGCATGAGAATGACAGTAAAATTAATGTCATAACCTTTACAGCCTATTTATCGTTTTCTGTGTAGTATCCTAAAGGATTTTGTGTAACATCTAAAATAAATGTCTTAGTATGGACAAGCATCAAATTAGGTTAATTGGGTTCACCTGATATTCAGATTCAGTCTGTCTATCAGGACACCAATTTCATATAAAAGACCTGTGGGTATCTTTCTGTGAAAATTGCTTTTAAATTATTATATATATATGCTCTGCTTCCTTTGGTTGTTAAAGACCAATTTACAGTGTAGGTTTTTTCCACTTTATTTGATATTTTCACTTCTTCTGGTTGAAAATTCATTTATCCTTTTATTCTGTGGTAGCATAAGGAATAGCATAGCCATGATAGAGCTTATTTTGTGGCATTAAGATAAATTTTGCTCTTTAATTCTGTCCAACTTCAACTCCACTTCACTTGAAATTCTTCTAATGGGTTTCTTTTCATCCCTGAGCAGTTAGTAGCAGATTCAAGAGAACTGTTTTGAGTTCTGGAGTTCTGCGACTTGAATGATTTTATTTATTCTCCTGTGGTAGAATTACAAACTGAGCAAACCAGATTTTAAGATTATATTGAAATTTAAAAGCTTTATCATTGGGATAGGCTCTCAGGTGGAAAAAAATTTATGATAATGCCAGATTGACATAATCAGCATCAACTTAAGTATTTGGAAAGAACCAGTATGGGACTCAGATATAACCAAGGAAGACTGTGAGAATGTTTGCCTCCTCAGTATTCAATAAAAACAATGGGACATAATGAATTATTAGTGGTGTCCAACCTAAAATTTGTTCTGGATGTAAGAGCATAAAACAGGTAAAAAATATAGTTAATGATTTTATTTCTAAGGTTGTCTCTTTTTTGAACATCAGCAGGTATTTTATGGGAAGTAGTTATGCCAAACTAGATGTATAGTCAAATGAAAAAAAAAAAAAAAGCTGCTGAGGGCAGGTATAAGTAAGCCTGTAGATGTATCCTTCAACTTCTATACTGTGCATAGATGCAAACTTTCAGAACTTTTTTATAAGACTGCAGGTTATGTTTAGGACATGCATCAAATGTATGTAGATACTAAGTATCAGTTAAACATGTTAGAATGTGGCTGAAAGATGCCAGAAACTGTCAGTGAGAAAGGAACATGAGTCATACTTATGGTAAAGTTGTGGTGGGACTGGTTCCAAGACTAGCACTAGGCAGTGATCAAAAAGACAGTATCACTGCTGATAAATTTGACAATAGTGTAAAATGCAGACAGGACAGACACACAAAGTTACGTGGTTTGCTGTGTAAACTGTGTTTGTATTGAAAGCACGCTTTAATACAGTCATGCGTATAAGAATGGATAGAAAAATTTGAAGGGATGAGAAGAATCTTGCCCTGACTTCAGAATCTTGAGGTGTTCAGTTTTTCCAAAAAGGAGGGTTACTTGATTAAATATCTGCACAAATAAAAGGCAATGGAAGGTTCTTTGGTATAACTACAATAAAAAAATTTTCCATGAATGGCTAGAAGGTGAAAAGTTAATTTGAGAAATTAAACTTTTTTTTTTTGACAGTAGCTGATCAATGCACTAGTCTATCAAATAAGCATTGGATTTTCTAGATGAAGACCATTATCCTACTGCAGTTAGGGTTGAATTCAAATCAGAGATGCCTGTACAAAATGTTTGGATTTGTATGGTCCACTTTTCTGCCCTAGTGTTAGGGTTTGTGAATACTTGTAAGAAGATTTGGAGCTTGTATTTCCACGTGGTATTCTAAGAATTATTGATTGTATCCTGAAGTCTGGTTTGCTTGCTATAATTCTAACAGGAATTAGTAACCGTAAGTGGGGCACCCTCTTAAATGATCTGATGCTCCCTACAACTGGGAGGGACCATGGAAACCTATAAAAATGTGACTTCAGAATAATAATTTTGAGAACCTTCATTTGAACATAATTTCTCACATTGTTTTTGACAAGAATGTGTTGCTGTAACTGCTTCAGTATGCTTTCAAGTGCTGAAAGTCCTGAAGTGGAAGAAAAACTTCCGACCTTGGTTCTGTAAAAAGGTCTTGTTGAGCAATGTGGCCTTAAAGAAGGATGTCGTACACTCGGGGTGACAAGTTGAAAATCCACGTTGGTTCCTAGAAGTGTTTTGCCATTCCAAAATTACATCAACGTGGTCTGTTCCGTTCTTGTAGGTTAAGAGGGAGTTGTCTATGTGTTAACCACAACATGAAACTACGTTTAGATGAGCTGACATCTGTGCGTATGCTGGGTCTGACTGATCAGAGGTTGACTGCTTAAGTACCACGGACAGAGGCTCTTGGAGGCAGCCTGGGGCCAGCTGATGTGCATCGGCAAACCCATGCCAGGAGGTGCTGGTTGACACACCAGAGCTGCTTATTATGTATGGCTCAGCACAGAAGGTACAGCTACCAGAGGCTCACCTGTCTGCTCTGTGAGGGCTTCTCACAGCAACCACACTTGATTTTCTTTTACGCTTTGGTACTGAACTTCCTGCAAATGGAATTGAGTTTGCCTCTTTTTATACTTTACTGCTGCCCACAGAACTATCTCCTTCCTGGAACCTCTCCATTGCTTTTTGAGAGTCAGTTGCATGCTAGTAAAGGAACATATTCAAGACTTGGTTTTGTGTTTGGTAATTGCGTCAGAATTTGTCCTAACTATTTTTGTATTTACCCAAAAACAGTCTTTTGGTACTTCATGTGCTCAGGAGGGGGCTCTTGAGTGCATGTCTGGAATGTTCTTTATTTCAGATTCTACCGGCTGTTAAATTGGCCAGGAGAGTAAGCAAACTCCACATCCACACAGCTGGCTCTGCTCATGGGAAATGTTATAGATATGCACTGGTATGAAAGCCTAGATCCAAATAAAACCCCAAGTAGTTGGAGTTCCATCTGCGTCAGTCAATGGACTTGTCTGTTACCTTCCCAAAACCTCCAACTGCATCAGGAGAACAAGAGTTTTATACCCTGTGTGGCTTTTAACATGTTAGTGGTGTTCAGCCAAATGAGACTACCATGCAGTCATTCCAAAAGCTGAATCATTTTATGATAAAGGAAATCTAAGTGGATAATAACACAATTTTATATTATCATTATATCATAGTATGTCTGTCTTACTTAACTGTTGAATCACACTTGACCACAGCTTAATCAACACACTGACTGCACTGGAAAGGAATAGCCAACTCTTAAGTTACCGGGTGCCCGCTGGATGTGATGCTATTTTATGTCAAACATGCATGAAATGTTGCAATAAATACCAACATCAGATTTCAGGAGAAGTGGCAGTGTAATGTTTGTTTCACAAATGGAAGCTAATATCTTCACTGTAGCATCCGTGGAAGATTCTTCTTGTCAGTCATTATACGGGATCCAGGCAGTCAGATGTTTGAAGGAAAATGATTGCTTAACCCTACATTATCTGTGATTCTTCAGCATGCATTGTTACTTTGGAATTCATGACGTCCTCTTTTCTGGCTTTAACATGGGCTTTCAATTACAAGAAGCCTAAGTTAGTTTTACCCAGTGTTGAAATATGGAGAGTGCATGTAAGGGAATGTGTGATTCAGAGAAACACTTAGTGTAAAACTCCGGTGGTGTTTTGTGTGACATATGGGCATAGTAGGATCCATTCTGAAATACAGTTTTGGAAAACTATTGCCATTGTCCTTTTTTTTTTTTTTTATTAGTTTATGAAAAATTATCAGAACTTCTAAGTATCTGTATTTCTTCTTTCCAGGAACGTTGTTGTAACTATTAAAAGGCATAATGCAGAATCCTTTAACATTTTCTGCAGGTATAGTATACTTTCTATACTTTTTTTGAGAAATTAGATGCTTGTGATTCAAAATGTGGAAGAAATAATCATCATTAATAAATTGCTGTAAAACTCATGTATACTATTCTGCCCTACTATGGTTAAAAAAAAAAAGAAGCCATTATACTGCAGCATTTATCACTATAAATAAATGCAATAGCTAAGACTGTTTTCTTCTTTAGGAATTTGCTAATTACTGTTACCACTTACAGTTGAAACTTGAAACATATAAATCTGCTTCTTGTTTGATTCAATACAATTAAGTGTTCAGGGTTTATTACAATTTTTTTTATCCTCTTATATTTGAAAATCATTGTCATATTTTACCCCCATATAATTGGGAGTCAAATCTACTTGCAAGTTATGCTATAAGACTAGCACAAACACGAAAATAAATATTTTCTAAATATAAACTTAGATTTTTAGAGTTTAAGTGCCTTTTCTTCAACATTCCTATCCTTACTAACATTTCTGTGTTTAACTATTTTTCTATGTTTTGTCTCTTCAGAAGTCATCTTTTGTTGATTTAGTTCTCAGTAGGGTTAGCATCTTGAACTTTTCCCTCTATTACCATTAAGGGTATTTGTGCTGCAACTCTGTATTCTCAAGCCTCTAAATGTGCAGCTGTAACTTTAATTTCCTTTACCTTTTGATCTGTGTCACAATGCTAATGTTTAAATATGATTTCTAACTTGAATGTCACGTTTAATGATACTTCTTAAATGTGAGTGAATGTTTGATGGATATGACATAAGCTCTAATGGACCCTTCAGAACCATCACAGGTTGTCAGTTAAGTTTCCGTTGTTAGTACTCATGTTAATTAAGAAAAGCACTCTGTATTACTTCACTTGAAGCCTTGAGCTTTTACTGTCATGTAAGTTTATACTTTACCTGTTTTGTGAAGGCTGAGTATTTTTATGATACTGTAATAATTCTGAGGAAGCTATTCCAGGAGGATGTCATGCAAATTCATCTTAGTTGATGAGTTCTGTGTCTAATGGGACTATTCTTTCAAGGGAGACAGTACTTACTGTTGTGTAAAGTTATCCACCCTGCAGTGTGCTCTTCGGCCATACGCTTATGACTGAAATACTTAATTCTAATACTTAAAAACCTTAATTTAATTTTTCCTTTAAATAACAGGAATTTGACCACTGTTGTAGTCAAACTGAATGTGTTATTTTTTGTTAAAGCCATTTCCAAATAACGGGAGGACAATACAGACTGAAACTGTTTGCAAACTTGAAACTGATGAATCTTTGCTTTGAGATTTTTTTTAAGGCCTTTTTTTTTTTTCTTCCCTGAACAAAAATCCATTCCAGTCAGTATCCTTCTATCAAATTGCACCCAGAGTGAATTATGAGAGCCACGTTGTAAACTTTGGAAGTGAGGGTTCATGTTAGAAATCATAACCAGATCCTGACCCAGAGCTATATCAGTGTGAAATCATGATATTCTACAAATATACTGGTCCAGTATATTTTTTTTTTATTCTTTTACTACCGCTTTTTTTTGTCCTTGTATCAAGCATCACTTTTGTTTGTTAAATGTGTTATGGGACTTTGAAAATGTTGAGGCTATTAGCAATTTGTAACAATTTATGTACAACTATAACATTGGTACATTTCTTAGAAATAAAAGGTTTGAAAATGAATTATATTGGAAGTAGAACCTATCCATCAGTTACGTTCAGTATAGCATTTTTGTTAGACCTTCTACACTTTGAAAGTGCTTGTTATTTTTCAGTCGAGTATGGAAGTAACAGTTAGTGCAAGTTCTTTGAGTGACAACATAAACCCTTCACTGCCACCATTTGTCATGTAATAGCAAGAAGTTCTGTAAATTGATACGTACTCCTTCAGGGCATCTATATTTTTCTCAATTTAAAATATTTTATAAAAGAAAGGTGATTATCATTTATATAACAAGCTATTGTAACTCCATGTTCAAACAGATGCACTTTTCTGAATAATGATAAATATTTCTAAGATTTTCTTTTTTCCTAGGAATAATGAAATTATCATTGAAGCATCATATTCTGTCATTCACATGCATGTTAATGTTTGCTGTTGAGCAAGTGCTGTATTTTTTTTTTTTATAGTGCTCCATAATGGCAAAATACCAATGTGCCTTAGAGATCTGAAATACCTGTGGATGAGTGGCACTGTCAGATTTATAAACCACTTTTGTTAAATGACTCTAACATGAAAAAAAGTATCTTACAGAATCATTGTGCAAAATATAAGGGAGTCCTGGTTTATCTAGGAATTTATTTAATACTTTTTGTCTTTTTTTAAATATACATTCGAAAAGTATATCACAGGCTGAAATCATAGTTTTGCTCCTTGAGTATGTTTATTTTAATTTAAAAAAAGAAAACTTTTTTACTTTAGAAGTCATTGTATATTTTAGTACATTTTGTATCCAGGTTAGTATGGTCATTTGGTGCTGGGAGATCTCAAACTTCAATTAGCTATGTAAATGTGTTTCTTAGCATCAACTCTCACTTTGCTGGAACCCCTGCTGCCTTTATATCATTAACATAAATGCAGGTGCAAATAGCATTTATGTACTTTGATAGAAAGCAGTTGGAGACATTTCACTGTGGGACACGACACTTTCAGATTGTGTACATCTGTTCAAATAATGTATCCAAGCCAGTGACATGAATGGAGGGGTAAAAACATCTGCCCCTGAGACCATTTGCCATACAGCAGATGCTTACATCTTTATTTATGCAGATGGTTTGTGTGATGAGCTGAGCAATGATGAAAGCAAGAAAGTTTGACAAAGATTTCAGAGTATTGCTTGGGATGGGAAAATATGTTGGTAACAGTGCTTCATTTTCAGATGTCTACCAAAAGAAGAACATCTGTTGTAAATACTGATTTTTTTTATTTTTTTAGTAACAGGATGGTGTTATTTGGGATGTTAACTAGATTAACACAAAACCAGTAATGGATTTAAAAAAAAAAAAATAAATCCCTTGCACAACAATTGTACTGCAGTTATAGAAGATACTAAATAGTTTAATTGAAGTAATTACTTTTAACAGGAAGGCTCAGCTGCTTTGCTTCAAGATGTTATCAAGTTTATGCAAGACATTGAATTGACTGAGAAGTTTGCAAAGGTAGAATATTTTGAATAATAACTCGTGAAGTTGTTCAGAGTTGTGTATGGTGCTGTACAAGATTTCATGACTTTGGGGATTTTTCACTAGAAGCCGTATTTAGCATTACAGAATTGTTATTAGACAAGTAGCTTAGCCTTTCTGTTGCTTGAAAATTACTGTAGGGTAGTTGTCATGAGTCACAGATCTAAACTGAGCTGGCACTTAAAAGAAGGACCAGCAAGTGCCCCAGTCTGGCTTGCCTGGCTCCGGCCGTGGCTGGAGGCAGCGGTGATAGGCGCCCAACTCCCCCTGCTGGACTCTGCACCAAGGGGCTCCTTTGTCTGCCGGAGCACACCAGATACACGTGAATTTAATTAGAAATGTACTGGTATTTCGGCACACAGCAAGTTCAAGATATCATCTTTTGGCCTACATTCCTGTTGACTGCATTCCTGTTTTCGTTCCCTCGTATGCTGGCACTCATTACAAGTGTTTGCTGATACATTATCACTTATCAGCAGTGTCTTCAATCAGTTCCTTTACAGCACATCCCGTACTTTCTTGTGAGAACTGTTGCTGCCTTTAAACAATACAGTGGCCAATATGGGCAACTTTAGCAAAATGTCAATAAGCATTGCAAATAATTGCAATTATGCATGGGCTGGGGGGGGAAAACATTCAGATACTGTAAATTAAGTTATTTTCTGCTACATCCTGTTGCCAGAAAGGCCTAGCTGTGTTCAGGTTCAGATACTGTAAATTAAATTATTTTCCGCTACATCCTACTGCCAGAAAGGCCTAGCTATGTTCAGGCAAGTGATAATTTTGTATGTTCTGAAAACTAATGTCTTCCTAGCCAGGGCCATAGCCTTTCTGAAGATGTTTTTGTTTTCCTGGGCTTTATAGGGCTGTGTCTGTCTTTGGAAAAAAATATCCATATCTATTTGAAGTACTGTGGAGATCCTCTAATCTTTATTTTTGCTTTAATCCTTAGTGGAATTGAGTACAGGTGATAATGATTTGCATATCTCAGACCTGTAGAGTCTTTTTCTGAAGAAATTTGGGTCATGAAGAAAGAAAAGGGGGGACAGACAGAACAAACAAAAATCCTCATAGAGATTCTCCATTCAAAAGTTAGATCACTTAGGTAATTTTCAAAAGAAGTGAGCTGTTTACAGAGAATCCCTCAGAAAATATTCTCCAACTATCATCTATGTATAACAGTGTGTTCTGGCCCTTTCTTTGGGGAATGAAAAACCCTGTGTATAGTTCATACAGGAAGACACCAGACCAGGCCAAGTTCGAGAGTCTTCTGATCCTCCATTCATCTTTAATGAGGGAGCACTTTCTGAGGTTTGTGGTCCAGAAGTCACCATATAGATGCTTTTAATGCCTCAAGTAAAAGATATTTGCTCTATTGAGGCAAAGTTGTGAATTAATTGTTTTCTCTTGCATACAGGCTCTGTTCAGAAAGAGGTGCTCTGGTTGTCACCAGAAAAGTGACACTTGGTGGAAGGAATAACAATTTTGCTGTTCTGTTGTACTCTCTATTGCATGGTAGTATTTGCAAATAAAAAAAAAAAATAATTTGGGAGTAAAAGGCATAATTCTCTTACTGCAACCAGACATACCTGTTTTCTGTTCCATAGAGGGAAGGGAGGAGGGTTGAACTCTCAGTAAGACGAAGATAGATGCTATGCTCAGCTTGTTTGAAAGGGGAGCAAGAGTCTTGTCAGAAAATATTTCGTGATTTATTTATAAAATGGTTCTGTTTTACCTTTTTGTGCTGCATAGTTTTTGAAGAATTCTGCCTTCATTTTTCTAGCAGACCTGGTCATTATTGTTTCCTGCACTGAAGAAAAAAATAAGTATAAATTGCCACTTACATTAGGTATATCAAGATTTTGTCCAGGTTGTTGTGGTCTTGATAGTCCTTTTAAAAAGGACTTTACATTGACATTGACTTTACGGTGAATTAATTGCTGTTGAGGTCTGTATCTTTCTTGAAGCTCACTAAAAGAAATCTCCACTGGCAGTTCTCCCAGAAAATAATTTTTAAAAATCAAATTAGAGTATTTTCTTTTGAATCCTCTGTTTGTCCCCACTTTCTGAAGTACCTAATCCATATTTGCAGTGCCATTGAAGGTTTGAGTTACGAGTTTATGACCAGTGCTTGCATGACCTCCCTTCAGCTATTTTCTGAACAATTAGTTCCCCCAAGTGGCTGCGTCACTGACGCCTTGCTTCGCAAATGTCCAGGGATGGTATCCTCTGTGGAACAGAATGACTGGGCAAAAATGACAAAGATAAACCACTGGATTTGCAATGCTACCAAAATAATTTTCTTCCTACTCAATTGAATCCTGTCAGAGCAGTGTGGTTTCTAAATAATGCCCACTTGAAGTTTGATGTGGTTGTTTGCTGAAACTAGTAGAAGCATATAGAAGCTGAAATACAGTGACTTTGATGATGGATGTAACAGTCTCTCTCAGACAGAAGTTCCATGCTTAAACAGAAAAGAACCGCTGTTTTCATCTTTAACAGTTATTTGTGTGGTTGCAGAGGCCAGGCACAATCTTGAGCCCATAGATTTGTCCACGTCAATGTTATTCCAAAGTTCTTACTGTCACAGTGACAAAAATCTGTATGATTTCTTCAGCTGTAAAGGTGGGAAAAGTTATTAATAATTACAGATGCTTTACATCTAGCTCTCTTTACATCTGTTTTTGTTTCTTGATATCAAAATATTTTGATCTGCTTAAAACCTATTAATTATGTTAACCTTAATATGAAATGAGTAGCTTGTAACTTGACTGTGCCTTCAAAAAAATGGAAAGCTTTTAAAGTTCACAAACACTGCATGAGAGGTGTTAAAAGAACAGGTGGATCTGCTAATAAATGTATTTTAAATTCATTGCAAAAGTGTTTAAAAATCTCATATGTCTGTTTGTTCTGACTTTGAAGAAAGACTTCCAAGACTTTCTTCGTTCATACAGTAGCACAGAAATGGCTTTTTTTATAGGAGGTTATGTTAACACTTGTATTGCCCACATTTCATATAAGATATTGCTTTTGAACATTGATTTACCCGCATGTGGCTAACGCATTATTGCTATTACAACTCAAAAAGGTTACCTCAAAGCTGTTGGCCATTTGTTGTTCCCTACAGAAACAGAATTTCATACATATTTTTAAAGTTACTTGTGTTGGGACAACAGAGATACGTGAAATCTAAATCTGTGTCTTTCCTGGGCTGAGGGCTCCAGAGCTGGACACAGTACTGCACATGGGGTCTCACTAGAGTGGAGCAGAGGGGCAGAATCACCTCCCTCAACCTGTTGGCCATGCTACTTCTGATGCAGCCCAGGATATGGTTGGCTATCCTACTGTCTGTGTCATTGATGAAGATAGTAAACACTACTGGTCCCAGTACAGACCCCCTGAGGAACACCGCTCCTCACCGATCTCCATCTGGACATTGACCACTACTCTTTGTATGCGACCATCCAGACAATTCCCTTATGCACTGCATAGTCAATTTATCAAATCTATATCTCTGCAGTTCATAGAGGAGGAAGCTGTGGGGGACCATGTCAAAGGCCTTACAGAAGTCCAGGTAGATGACGGCATGATAACGAAGCGGCTCGTGTGTGTACTTTCAAACAACAGAGGAAAGCAGTTCTGGAAATGGAGAAAGTAGTTACCAAACAATAGAGATTATTATTTTTCCTTTTTTTTTTCCCCCATAACTTATGTTAGAAACTAATTTTCTGAAAAGTAGATCTGTATAAACTTTGTTATATATCAGTATATGGTTGATAGTGCAATAAGGGTGTTTCAGGGAAAAAAAAAAACCTGAATTAGACAGGAAGCTGAAGAACTTTCCTAAATATGAACTATGTACCCTTGATCTTGGATTACTATATGAGTTATCTCTCCAAAATGACTGTTTATGCCAAAAATAGTTTTAGCTTATTCCCACACTGGAAAATGTAGCTAGAAATTTTAAGGTTGAACATCTGCTTTAATGGAGTCCAGTTAATGTAAAAAAAAAAATAAATTTATTGTGTAAGTATATTGTTGTAATGCTCTCTTCTGCTAAGAGAAGTCTTTTGTAGACTATTTAAGGAATTCAGGAAGTATCCCACTGCTCACAGAATTTCTTGAAATGCAGTATAATTCTTATCCCTTAAGATAATAAACTTGCACAGACTTTAAAGCAAAGACGACCTTTCTAAATGATAAAATGCTTAGTGCATAACTAGCAAATCACATTAATTAATTCTGACTTGAGCATCATATATAGCTTTAAAGAGGTGTAATACTCTCTTTTAGAATTTTAACAAACTATTTTTATCTTGTTCCTCCTGGGGTACACCAGAACATGTTTTCTAAGCCTATTTCTACATTCTGTATCTTAGTGTTTGTGTGAATGCATTAGAGTACTTCATTACGTTGTTTATTTTTCTAATCTATTTTAAATTGCACAAAAGGACTCCTATGTAGACATAATCATATTACTCTTAAAAAAACAAGGTCTAAAAAGGTAAGAAATTCAAGATACAATGTTATCCCTGTGGCTTAAATGCTTCTCCTTTCCAAATCACATGTAATAGTAATGTTCGTTACCCATCTTAAGTCAGTGTTTAATTCCCATATCCCACCATGACTCTTTGGCCTAGACACTTTCCAAGTCTCATTTCTAGTTCCCTTGTCCTTGTCCTGCTTGCCCTGTGTATATCCTAGTTTCTCTCCCACAGTGTCAGCTCAGCAGTTCAGAGGTAAGGAGAGGCCATTTCCTTGTTCCAACTTGGGTGGTTGGACCTAAAGCTATAGTTTTAGGAAAAATCCAATCCAGCCTGAAGCAGGAGCACATTCAATAGAATGTAATCATTGGAAAAATTAGTAGCTTAAAGTATTTATCGAACACAGTCAAGAGTTTACAACTTTGCCAAATTTGGGCAGCTTTTCACAGATAAAAGAGGCATTGATATGTCAAATATCAAGGTCTTCATCTAATGCACAGATGTGTTACTAGATTCTTCTTTTTCTTAAAATGCAGACAGACCTTGGGATGGCTGGCATTTTCTGTTGAAAATAATTTCAGAAATGTATCTGAGGCAAATACCCAGAATAGAACATTCCACCCAAATAGTTACTACGGAGCAAAGATGGAAACAACTGCAAATCAATAGTTATAATGTATAGAGTTGGGCGTTCCTGATTTGTAGCCTTTATTACCAACTGTACTTTCTATAGGTGGGTCTCAAAACTAGTTTTGAACATGGAAGGCCAAATTCTATTTTCTAGATTTATGTTGATTTGTGTGGGATTACAGAAAGTGTAAATCAGCATAGAATTTAGCCTCCCATATTTAAAAGCCTTGCTAAAGCTACTGAACCTTCATTTTTCTGAGCTTTTTGTTTTGCTGCTGTTGACTGTTTGCCATGACACTGGACACTGAAGCTAAAGCATCCCATCTGTTCACCACATTAACCAGCTTTACTCAACTATTAAGCTATCGCCTTGCATTTGGCATGTAATATATTAGATTTTAAAACATTTTTTGAGGAGAAAAAAATGGAAAAGAGCAAGAAGCAGTAGTTTTCTTAAAGCATTAACTGGAAGTTAGTGTTTTATATTGTCATTTTATATTGTCTTTTTCTGGGTTTTGTTGGGTTTGGGGGTTGTTCGGGGGTTTTTTTTGTCCTGGGATCTATTTATAACTGACTGAAGCACTTTTGCAGGTGGTGTTTTTTTGCATGCTAATCCTGCAGAGAAACATTGTGTCCAACAAAGTATGCTGGGTCAGCAAAAACAAGAAACTTGTGCTGGAAAGACAGTATCCACAGGTATTTAGTGTGTATGGAGATTTGGCAAAATGCATGATTAACTATCATTGACAGAAATAAATCTAGGTTGTCTGTTAGAAAGTTGTGCATTTTTTTCTTTCCCATAGAACAGATATTCTTCCTTTCAAAGTCAGCAAAAGGCTCAGCAACTTAAACATGCATTTAATAAAATAGTTCATTAATCTTTCATCTGTATTCTGCCTTTCCTTTCAAAACAAGATGAACCTTTTCTTGCGTTATTTTCTGTCACTTTTCCAGTCATACACAAATTAAAAACATACCTACACAAGTGAGGTGGTCCTACAAGGATTATTTAAAAATAAATTAACACTATTACACAGTAGTTTCTGGCATTTCGGTGGTTTATTTTAATGTTCAAAATAGACCAGATTAGTGGGGAAAATTAAATTTCTTCTGATGCTTTCTATGGTGTCTGAGTTCACCAATGTATATGCTTTACATAGAACAAACTGAAGGAGGTACAAAAAGAAGGCAGAACAGACTGGAGCAGACCAGACTTGAATGACTTAGGAGGGATGAATAGCAGCCCCATGGAAGACTTTCTTTCCTCAAGAGGCCTCTTCCCAGCATGGCTCTATCAGAGACTTTGATCTATCCCTGATTTTTTTTTTATTGGTGTATCACTGTCCAGTCCTATACAATTTTAAGGTTATTTAGATTGGGTGAAAGCTTATGACATCCTGCAGGTTTCTGAGTGATGTGATACTTCCAGATACTAGCGTGGTAACCATTAATCTTTTAACAGAGACTTTTCAAGTAAATGGATTGAATTGCATTTGATTTAACCTTGTACTTAATTATTTAACAGTGTCTACCCATTGCCCCAACTCCATGCCTATTTGAAAGACTGAGAACACAGCAGTTAAAAATGAGCTTCACATCATTCAGATATTAAATCTAATGTTTTCATTCATTTCCTTTATTCTTAATGAAAATTTCAGAGAAAGTATGAAAATTATTGCCTTCCAGTGAAAGACCTGTAGACTGACTTGTAGAAAGAATGTTGTATAAAACCAAGGGCCATCCTCAAAAATGCCATTGCAGAGCCTCCCTTAACTGAAAATTCCCCGTCTTAGACGTACGACTTCATGGGTTTGCATTGTCGCACCTGACAAATCAAAATGAGTCCTTTGAATCAGAACAATTTGGAAGAAGGTGTGGAATAAAAGTGGAATGTCCCTGTAAGGGGCATATTAAGTTTCCAAGTGGCCAGACAGCCAGAGCCTATTCAAGTCCTTCAGTATCAGTGTGGCAAAGACATGAATTACCATAGCAATCACAAATTGTTGAAACTTTTTGCCAAGTATAAATGGAAAAAATAGTTTTGGTCTCTGATGATGCTTGCACACTCTGGGTGGGGTCAGTAGGACCTCTGGTCTATGAATTGACTGGTTGCTTTTTCCTGATCCAAGATGCTAAAAAGTCTTCCACCAGTTCTTCCAATTACAAGCAAAATCTTAACCGAGTCTGAAGACTCATCAGGCAGCTAGTCTGCATCTAGCCCATCTCTCCATTTGGACACTGGGTAAGCTGCTTAACTATGGCAGCTGTGTTGGATGAGAGGGAAATACAGAGCCAGTGTCTAAATGACCTGTAACTAGCATTGAAATTCAGGGCTAGTCTGATGAATGATTACAATACTTTACATCATTTTATTGTACTTCTCAGAAGACCTTGTTTCCTCAAAAGCAGCAACAATAAGATATTCTGGGGGAAGCAAAAAAATAATCTTGAGTAGTATTAGCAGTCTTTGCAGTTGAAAATACAAAGGTTTCTATATACTTAGTGACTGTAGATTGGCAAAAATGGAAGTTCTTAGTGAGAAATAGTAGTTGCTGCTAGCTTTTGGAGAATCACAGAATCGCAAGGGTTGGAGGGGACCTCGGGAGATTATCTAGTCCAACCACCCTGCTAAATCAGGTTCTCCTAGAGCATGTTACACAGGACTTCATCCAGGCGCGCTTTGAATATCTCCAGAGAAGGAGACTCCACAACCCCCCCTGGGCAGCCTGTTCCAGTGCTCCGTCACCCTCAGAGTAAAGAAGTTTTTCCCTCATATTCAACTGAAGCCTCTTATGTCTCAGTTTGTACCCATTGCCCCTTGTCCTGTCGCTGGGCACCACTGCAAAGAGTCTGGATCCATCCTCGTGACTTCTACCCTTAAGATATTTGTATGTATTGATGAGGTCCCCTCTCAGTCTTCTCTTCTTCAGG